GGGCTCCGGCAATCCTTCCGCCTCAGCCTTCCGAGTAGCCGGAATTACAGGCATTCGCTATCACGCCCGGCTGATTTTTTGATTTATTGTAGAGAGGAGGTCTCGCTGCCCAGGAGGGTCTCGAACCCGCGAACTCAGGCAATCCACTCACCTCAGCCTCCCAAAGGCGCGGGATTACAGGCTTAGCCACCGAGTCCAGCTGAGAACTATTTTAATGGACAATCCATTAAAAAGAATTAAAGGCCTAACTCTTTCTAGTCACCTTCTTACTAGTCATTATAAATAATACTAATTAGGGGAAAATATACATAGAGAAACAAAAGAACAATCTAAAAGAAGGAGTGAAATAATAAACATGAAAATAACAATAAAAGCTTTATAGAGAATGAAACAGTGGTTTCCAGGAACTGGTGAGTTGGAGAAATGGAAAGAGATTGATCAAAACATATAAACTTTCAGTTATAAGAGGAATAAATTATAAGGATATAATGCAAAGCATGATGACTATAGTTAATAATACTGTACTAGAAATTTTCTAAGAGAGTGAATCTTATGACCTTATTCTCAATACACACAAAATGATAGCTATGTTTATGATAGATGTACAAATCAATTTGATTGTGGTAATCATTTTGTAATGTATACAAATATCAAATCTTCACTTTGTACCTTGTATATATATAAATTTTTTTTTCAATTATGACCCAATAAAGCTAGAAAAAAATGAAACAGTAATAATACTATAAGACATCAACTTATACTAAAATAATGAAATTTAAAACACCACAAAGATAAAAATGTAGAATTTTCCAGAATAATCAACAGGAATTAGATTTAAGATAAAGAAAAGTAAAGTTTATAAAGCAATAAGGTAAAAGTTTAAAGCACAAAAATAAGAGTATCAAAGATCAGCAATAAGAATAACATATTCAAATGTGTAAAAAAAACCCCTATAATCATAAATGTAAATTGTATGGTCAAATGAGAACAAGAATTAAAGACAAAAAGCTAAGAGCACAATATAATGCAAAAACAATAAAAGCAAAGAGGTTTAAAAATATTTAAAGAAATATAAAAGGAATAAGCTTGCACATTAGAGAGATAAATAGTAAAATAAAACAGCAATATTAAAAAGAACATTTAGATTAACATACATCAAAGCAAGAGAATACAGAAAACAGTGCCAGGATAATCAGCAAAAATATTAAGAAAAGCATATAGGGCAACCCCTTCGGTTCCCCTCCCACCATGGGAGCTTTTCTGTCCTCTCAATAAATCCTGCTTTCAAAAAAAAAAAGAAAAGAAAAGCAGATATAGATAATATAATAAAGAAACACTAAAATGTTTGCTTTCTAATAGAATTAGTAAAGAAAGAACATTAATACCCATACACCAGACTTTTGAGATAACTTCTGCTGTCTTTAGCATAGGTGATAATGTCAAATTAATTGAGGTTTCTAGAGATGGTAACCTGATTCAGAAGTACAGTTTCTACTTAATTCAAAGTGTGGCTACAAATATGGATGAGAATATCCTTGGCACCAAGGCAAAGTTGACTGCTGCAGCTGTTTCTGGGTTACATCCTTCTATCCTCAGGCTGCAGGCACTTTAAAAGTCCAATAATGTCGTAGTAAGACTCTATGCTCCTTGCTTTCCTTTATGATTGAAAAAAATACTCAGTAATCCATACATTATCTTAAAGTATTCCTCCTTTTCTTCTTATTAAATATGCCTAAAACTTCCTCTCTAGAGAAAAGGGAAATTTGATTTTAAAAAAGAGAGATTAACGCAATGAATAAAATTTTTCATTATAACAGCTTTAAAATTTTTCTAAATTTTCTAAATGTTCTTGTTTTCTATAAGATTTGAAAAGGTACTCTACCTCTAAAGCTATAGCCATTAACTGATGAAGAGGAAATAATACAAAATCATTAAAAATTAACTGGTGGCTAAAATTATTGTTGTGGATTAGAATCCATAAGAAAATGAATAGTAAACAACAGATTGGATATTGTAAAAAGTAGAGTCAGTACAGTAGAAATTAAATACAAGAAATTCTCTCTGAACTATAGCAAAAGACTGAAGATGGTAGTATAATGAGATACCTATCAGATCTAAAGAATGTAGTATATTAGGAGAGCCAATAATATTTAGTGAAGCAATGAACAGAAAAATCAGAGAAGAAAATGTGTCTGAACTGGAGAAAATTTAATTTAAAGTGCCCAAAAAGTACTAGTAAAAATTAACCCAAATAAATCAATCTGTAGCAATGTTCTGATAAAATTTTGTATATAATATGAAATATGTATTTTATAATATTTATATTCATAATATTTATATAGCAAATACAATAAATTGTATATTTTATATGCAAATACAAAGGTAAAACTAGAAAATCATGCATAAGCACAAACTGATATATTTCAAAAATAAATTAAAGAAGGCTAGTTGAATATGTTTGCAATATTATACACATAAAGACAATGAAACAGCCAGACTCAGTGGCTCAGCCTGTAATCCCAGCACTTTGGGAGGCCAAGGTGAGTGGATTGCCTGAACCCGCCTGGGCAACTTCATGAGACCTCATCTCTACAATAAATCAAAAATTAGCCTGGCATGGTAGCGCGTGCCTCTAGTTCCAGCTACTTGGAAGGCTGAGGCGGAAGGATCACCGGAGCCCAGCAGGTTGAGGCTGCAGTGGCCAGAAGCGGCCACTGCACTCCAGTCTGAGTGACAGAGTGAGACTCCAACTCAAAAAAAAATAAAGAAGAATGTCAATTTAAATCAAAGAATCAGAAAAATGATTTGATTTGTATTGCCTTCCTCCCAGTGAAACCTTGTTTTGTAGTAGAGGATTTATAGGTAGAAAGTTAAAGAGAAATATAATTTTAATCTAAAGCATTTCATCTTTGTATGTGTTGGCGTTTTCAGTTTTCTGTTTGAGTTGCTAATGAAGCTCAGTAAAGCAAATAATCTTTTAAAATTTTTTAAATATAAAACATACATGCACAAACGGTAGAAAATATTTTGATAAGAAGCAAAAGAAAATACTTCAAAATTATTGAAGATATTTAGATAGCTTGTAAACATATTTTATTTTATTATATTTTTATTATTGTTAGCCCAATTAGTGATGAGTTCTAAAGAAAGAACGAATAACTGTGTTTCAAAAGGAAGCGGACATGATGAAATTTTAAAACTGAGGAACCAAAAATCATCAATTGATAGAACTGAGACATAAAGCAAATTAAAGAAACATTTTTGTATTTGAAAGTGATTTTTAATTCTATTTAATTTCTTATTCATGTGAATGACTTAATTAGAAAACTTTTGATGAAATAAATCTCTATTTCAAAGAATTAATATCTTCTGAAAGACATATTGTGATGTAAATGCAGTACTTTATTTTTGGTTGCAGCACTAGCATAAGATATTGACTTGCTAATGCTTTTTAGCAATTTCAAAATACTACGCTTAAAACAATGCATTTTAGAAACAGTCACTTTAAAAGTTATACTGAGTTGTTTAAGCACAATAAAATCATTATATTATAAAAAAGTTCATAAATAGTAGAAAAACTCATCATAGAAACACTATGTAATGTTCACATACAGATACCATTCAGAATCTAATGTCATAATCATTTAAATATTTATTTTATTCACAGTGTTTCCGGAAATGGACCAGCATACAAAGCCCCCAGGGTAGCCATAGAAAAGCAACTCCAGCAAGGAATTTTCCCAGTTAAGAATGGCAGAAAGATATCATGCATGAAGAGTGCACTTCTCCTAAAAGGAAGAAATCTCCCCAGAAGCATTTCCGATAAACAACGGTCTACCATGCCAAATCGACACCAATTACAAACAGACAGACATTATTTGTTTGGAAGTCGAATAACACAAACATCTTCAGATCTCAGCAATGCCAGTCACAGGACAGGAGTATCATTTTCTTTTTCCAAAAAAGTGCACCTAAAATTAGAATCTTCAGCGTCAGTTTTCAGTGAGAATACAGAAGAAGCCAATGATTGTAAATCACCTATGTATAAAACAAAACAAACTGCAGAGGAATGCAAGTGCTGCAGGTTTGCAAAAGATGATACACACTTTACTAAGGAAGAAGATGTAAACATCTCACCAAGTCATCTGGAAAGTGTTTTACACAATACCTTCTCAATAAGATCTAACATTGTACAAAACAAAAATGACTCTATTGATGAGACCCTAGAAGATTCAATTGGCATCCATGCTTCATTCTCTAAATCTAACATTCATCTTTCAGATGTAGATTTTACTCCTTCAAGCAGAGAAAAAGAAACTAGAAATACATTGACGAACATTTCAGAAAACCACATTAATCACTCATGCCAAGCAAATGCTTCCTTCAGCCCACCAAACATTTACAAGCATAGTAATGGCAGGATATTTGAATGTCTGGATGAGTTTTCATCACCAGAGCCAAGTGACCAAAAGAGTACTGTGCATCTGAATCCAAATTCCAGAATGGAGAACAGAGAGAAATCTTTAGATAAAACAGAAAGAATTGGCAAAAATGTGGAAAGACTTGTAAGAGAAGCATGCACCCATAATGTGGCATCTAAGTCATTGCCTTTTCTCCATGTTCAAAGCAAAGATGGTCACACCACTCTTCAATGGCCTACAGAACTTCTGCTTTTTACAAAAACAGAACCATGTATCTCTTATGGCTGCAACCCACTATATTTTGATTTTAAGCTTTCTCGGAATGTAAAGAATTCCCATAATTCAGAGGACTTAAAACCAGAATTGGGTAAGGAACTCCTGAAAAGGAAGACTAAAATAGAGAGCCAAGTCTCAGGTTTAATCAAAGATCAACAAAAATTGATCCCAGAGGATAATCAGTCTCTAAAACCAAAGATGATGATAGCTAAACCAGATTGGGAAAATTTCCAGAGAAAATATGATTTAGGCTACAACGATTCTGAGCCAAGTAAAGATGAGCATAATTTTATTCCAAATGATTTGGAAATGGAAAATCCTGAAGTGCCTGCTTACCTTGATACATCTCTAAAGAATTGCTTAGGAACCAGTAATAATAATGGTAATGAACTTATGGAATCTTCAAGGGCCCACTGGAAAAGCTGCAGAAGGTTACTTCTAAATGATGCAAATGAGAGCCTATCTTTTCCTCCTTATATTTCTAGGACTAAAACACATAAACCAATTCCTTGCAATCCTCCTGCAGGGTTTGAAGATGAAAACCAATTCAACTGGAATTCTAATTGTTGTACAGTAGAAGATCATAGTGACCATCAAAACGACTTCAGTGTAATTTTGAATAGTAACCACATCAGCATGACAAGTAGTATTTCTGGATGTGGAAACCGAAGTTACAGGAGAAGCTCTCCAAAGTCATCTCTGACTGGACGTTCTAACTCTTTAGATACATCCCCTAGCAGCATGTCCAGGTTGAGAAGTAGCTGTTCAAGTCATAGGTATGATAGTAATGGCAGAGATAATTGGCTCTACTTTTGTAAAAAAGAACACAGCTCAGTTGAAGGGCACAAACGGAAATGCAGAAAGCGCAACTGCTTCTACTTGTCTGATGAGATAGCAAAGGGCAACCGAATGCAGTCAGAAACACAGAAAGAGAGGAACTGCAAATTGTGGGAGTCATTTAAAAATGAAAAATATTCAAAACATAGATATTGTCACTGCAGAGAACGACATAAACCAAGCAAAAATCAACAATTTTCAGGGCCAAAATCTGTAAGAATTCATTGTGATTCTAGCTCACAGGTTTCCTGTGTTGGAAGCAGTGAAAAACCACCTATTTGCCAGAGAGCTCAGCAAAGACGGTGGGGCTCTTACTCAAGAGAGAGAATTTATTACTTAGATAAAAGCAAGAGAAATCAAGAGTCTTTGGACAACCCTCTCATTTGTGATCTGGGGAAAGTCACACCCATGCAGTGTAACTCTGGGAATGTCACTTGCCTTCTAAGGGACTGTTCCAGCGAATCTTCAGAAACCATGGAATCGAAGATTACAGAAGGAGGGATGACACCTCTGACAGCCAAAAGCCTTTTAGAACGAGTACAAGCAAAGAAGTGTCAGGAACAATCAAGTAATTCTGAAGTCTCTTCAAACAGTTGTAAAAAGAAATTAGAGGCTCATTCACAAATCCCATGCACAATTCAGCTTGTACCACCAGACTATAAGAGACCAATGTTGCCTTTGTCTGAGAAAATACAGTATACAAGTAAAAGAAGAAATGATAAAGGCAGTGTAATTTCAAGAACTACTGAAAAAGACAAAATCAAAACTTCACAGACAAATAATTTTACTGTTCTAGGAGACACTGATTGTGATAACCACCTTTCTAAGGATATATTTCATGTTGTAGCAGAGTCCCAGTCACTAAGCATAAAAAGGAACCCACCAACAAAAGAACAGTCAAAACCTTTAATTAGTGAAGTTCACTCTTTTATTCAAAGTTGTGATCCACTACCAAATGATTTCCCTGGTGCTTTCCCATCTAATAGTTATACTGGTATTTCTGATTCAACAGAGACCAAAGAGAACCAAATAAACTTAGACTTACAGGATGTAAGCATGCATATGAATTATGTAGAGGGAAATGTAAACTCTTACTATGACAGAACTATGCAGAAGACTGATAAAGTGGAAGACGAATTAGAAGTATGTCGTAAATCTTTCTCTCCCCCTTTAATTCAACAGCCCATAACGTTTTCTCCCGATGAAATAGATAAATATAAGCTCCTGCAGCTACAAGCCCAGCAGCATATGCAGAAACAGCTCCTATCAAAGCATCTTCGAGTTTTGCCTGCTGCAGGGCCAACTGCCTTCTCACCGGCCTCAGGTGTCCAGACAGTTCCAGTTCACCAGCATGCTTCTATAACCACCATCCACCACACGTTCCTGCAACATTTTGCTGTTTCTGCTTCCATAAGTTCTCATAGCAGTCACCTACCTATCACTCACGTACATCCTCTTTCACAGCCACATTTCACTCCTATCTCATTTTCGGCTCTGACTCCAGCCATCTTCCCAGCCCACCCGGCTTTCTTGGCAGGTCATCCCCTGCATTTAGTAGCTGCTGCCCCCTTTCACCCATCTCACATAACCCTTCAGCCCCTGCCCCCTTCAGCATTAATCCCCACATTGTTTGGTCCTCACTTAAATCCAGCCACAACTTCCATCATCCACTTTAATCCTTTAATCCAGCCAGTATTCCAAGGTCAAGATTTTTGCCATCATTCTTGCTCCAACCAGATGCAACAGTTAAATGGAGCGAAAGAGGCCTTAAATGTGTCGGCACATTTGAACTAATAGGCATCAAAGCTCTTCTTGTGTATAAGTTTAAAAAATTGTCACTACCTACAAAATGATATATGTAAAATGGTCTAATTATCCTAAGATTTTAAATATCACTGCCAATTCAAAATGTGACTAATATATAGATATAAACTGAATTGCCAATAATGAAACAAGAGCATTTTAAGAATTTAACTTGAAAAATAATAGGGGAAATTTTAAATAATTTTAAGGAAGGGAGAAGAAAAAGTATTAAAGATTAGTTTTGAATGGATACTCAGATGATGTTAAAAAGTAACAAAAAAATTTAAACAGAGCATTAATATTACAGAGAAAAATCAAATGGAGTATCATACCTTGGGTTATTGGGTTTTGTGAGTGAATGAATGAATGAATGTGCATTTAGTATTTTTATTTGTCAAATAATAATAAAAAATAAGTGAAATGAACTAGTTATTAAAACAAATTCTATGATTAACCATTGACTAAGCTTTTAATCAGTGTAGTCTGTTACATTATTTTCATAGGAAATAACAGATTGCATCATATTTTCTGATAAATTTGGGTTGAAAACTACACTTTAATGAAAAACAATCTCTATAGATTGCATTTTTTAGTTTCTATAACAAATCTATGTCAAGATAATTTTTTATTGAAAGAATCAGTTATATCTTAAATTAAAAATACTTAATATTTGTATAAAAAATGATACAAACTATCATTAGTATTTGATAATGCAAACCAATAAATAAAATATACTCAAAGTAACATTTCAAGTACATTGGTTAGTCTTTCACATACTGCAGATACTAAAATGTTAAATGTTTATTCTTCTTCTACTATGAAGTTTTTTTGTGTTCAGCCAAAACATGTACATGTGTAGAGGTAAAAGGTTTGGAAATGTCAGAATTTTTACATATTGAATGAGAGAAATCTTATGAAATATCTAATGTGTTTTATTTAATTGTTCTAGTATTTACAAAACAATGAATAATTATGGATGAAATTATCATCCATGTGATTTTACAGATGAATTCAAATATTCATTCAATATGTTTTCTAGCCCACATAATCTGGATTTTATGCATCTATATTTATGTATGACCCTCGTGTTGGGTTTATTATTTTACATTCTTAAAATAAAAAAAAACTAAAAATAAACATGTGACAACACATTCTCCATAGGCATGGGTTTCAGAAAAAAATCGAACTAAAATGAAATGGAGGAGACTTTCTTCCACTACTGTGTATATAAAGATGAAAATTCCTCTACCGCTAAAAGATGAGAACTATGTCTTTTTCAGCCTTGGCATCACAAGAAAGATAGCTATATTTACTGAAGGCATGTTGTGATTTAGGTAGAATAAGGCTAAGCACTTGGCCCACATTGTGTCATTTAATTTTCACAATTGCATTTTGACATTAATATTATCATTCTTCATTAAACATGAGGTAAATGAAATTGAAGTGTTAAATACTTAGTACTTGGTAAATAGTAGGAAAAGATAATTTTGATGCATGAGAGATAGGAAGAAAAAGAGAGGGGAAGGAAAAAAGAATAAAAGGATATACATTTTAAATTTTAACATAAAGAAATTCTTAAGATATCACCAGAAACTTGTGGAATGAGAATTTTGAATTCTCTATCAAGAAACTCCTATCTGCATGCCATTTCATAGAAGTGATTATAAAAGACCATTATGAACATTGGGTAAATCCAAAAAGAAGTGAAATAAACAAAATATTTATTATAAAATAGATGACAAAATGACCCGTAGATTTTTTAAAAGTAATATTGATAATTATTTTCTAAAGCAGACTACAAAGATAACACAGAAGAAAGAATAATCATGGAACTCACTAGAAATTCTTTTAGGAAAAAGACAGAACACCTGACTGATTTTTATAATTGTCTTGGTGGCAATTTAATCTCTCAGAAGGTTAGACCAGAGAACCTCTATCAAGCACTTAATTTTGACTAACAAAGACAGATTGTTATGAATTGATGACATGGAAATAACTATTCCATCTTGTATTAACAGTGGTAAAAGTGTTCATTGGACATACTAATTTGAACCATGGAGGAGCAGACTTTGCCACTTAAATGAAAGATAATTTGTTCATTAGGGTGACAAATTGTAAAAGTTCTATTGTCACATAAGGAAAGATGCAACTATAAAATTTACCCCAAATCAGTTACTGCAGCTCAAACACTGTATTTAATTTCCATTTCACCTACAAAAAAAAAAATTCAGGAAACAAAACAGAACAAAAAGCAACAAAAAAGAAAATGAATTCTAGATATATATTTAATTCTAAAATAATTTTATTTTTTAAAACATTTGCCATTGTAAAAGATTATATTTTCAGCATTGTTTTCTTCTGTTTACATAATTATTTGACAATCAACTTTTAGCATTAGATCTATTTTATGCCTATTACCCGATATCTGTGGGTTCATTCTTTTTATGGGATTATTCTTTCACATGTGACTTATGGTGGCAAGTTTTTATATCTGTCTTAAATTATTAATGCTTAAGAAAGGCTGTGAAATCTTTACATAAATGTATACACACACGTGCATGCACAAATACACAATTATCTATCTATATATCTTTGTTAGAGATTAAGAACCAATTCACCATCAAATAGTCTCACTTAATTCAGGTATGATCAAACAAAATAAACGTTTTGTATAAATATTTAAGAAGGTGCATCTTCTTAATAATTCCCTGCCAAATTCAAGAAGAAAAAAATATATGATGGACCTATCAAAACTGTATTTCAATATTCTCTTTAATTTCACCGTTATGAATGTTTTAAATATAATACAATATAAGAAGTTATTAGAACATCATGAATATTTTAGAAAGTCTCCAATTCCCAAGGCTTTTCCTAGGTAGACATTTCACAAAATGAACCCCTAAAATTTGTTTCACTTACAGAAAATGGATTTGGCAGTGACTCCTTTTCTTCAGTTTCTGCCAAGATTTAATGGAATATCTCTTATCTCTGAATATAAATATTTTCTTTTTGTGTGTGTTGGAGTCTCACTCTTTTCACCCAGGCTGGAGTGCAGTGGCACATTCACCATTACCTCAGCGTTGACCTGCTGAGCTCCCGCGATCCTTTCACCTCAGCCTTCCAAGTAGCCGAACCAACAGGCACGTACTACCGCTTTTGGCTAATTTTTGATTTATAGTAGAGAGGAGGACTCGCCAAGATTCCCGGGCTGGTCTTGAACCCATAGGCTCAGGCGATCCACTTGCCTTGGCCTCCAGAAGTGCTGGGATTACAGGCTGAGCCACCGCATCCAGCCGTAAATATTTTCAAAGAAACTAATTCTATAAAACTTTCCCGTTAAATGGAATGTTTATCAGTAAAATTAGTATCACATTACTGGATCAAATTACCTCCCTGGTGCATGACGTTATCACTTATACACAGTTCCAAATGATGGAAGCAACACAGATTTATGAGTTTTACATTACTTTCAAGTGGATCCTGAAACATCATACATTTCAAGCATTTGAGGCAGCGGTTGGAGCTATAAAGATGACTCTACCTGTTAGGATAACACTTAATATTCCAGTGTTCCAGATGTATATGAATGAATCATCTAGATGCCTTCCCAGAATGAGCGGAGCGTTGACGTCTCAGTGGTGAAATAACATTACCAATCATCTCAAACCAGTAGCATATTTCTCAGTTTTTCAGAAAAAAATTCCCCATGAATTTACAGAAGGTGGTTAAACATTCAGAATAAAAATGTATAAATATCAGATCTAGTTTTCTAAAAACACAATTTAAAGAACCCAGATCTCACACATCAATGTATGTAGCTGACATAATTTGGGGCAAGATCCACCCAGTGTTTCTATCTGTTCCAGCAAAGCTTATAAAGAGATTTCATTTTGACTCTTCAAATTAGATGAACTTCTGAAGAGAAATGCATTATAATTGGAAAATAGAAACATTATTAAAAAGCAAGTGGGTGACCAATTTCACACAGTAGTCAGGATAACAGATGGTTGCCCTTTGTGTCTCACACTGAAACCACTCAATAAGAGAGAGTTTCCTTCTAAATTGAGTTTTTCTGCCAATAAGTCAGGGTCTAGAGGATTTTCAAAGGTTATCATTTTATTCCAGCAAAAATATTATCCACTTTTTCTATTAGGTATACACTGAAGGTGATTGTTGTATCTTTGGATTAAGCTATATTAAAATGGAAGCAGTGACTGAATGGGTTAGGTTTAGAATAAACCAATATTCGAGAAATAAGCCAAAGGGTCTTTTTCAATCTGTAAAGTTCTGTATAAGAGGTAGAACTCCCAATCCACTTTATTAATTCCTTTTTCAATGTCTCATCCTTGTTTTGCAACCCACCACTTTTCTTAAATAGCAAGAGCAAGAGTAGCTTTTCAGAAACATCAAAAGAAATTAGGCAAATTTGAAAAATTAAAAAATGTTTGAGTGCACGTGTGAATTTGAATGTGTGTGTTCTTAATAAATATACCCTAGTCATTAGTTATAGACTTTAATCTTTAGCGTTTTGTAAAACATATTCACATATTGAAACAACTTCAAGAAGAAATTTCTTATTCATCATGCAAAATTGTTAGTTCTTTTGACATGTGAGAGAAAATAATTAAAAATATAAATTGGTTGTGTAACTATTGAAAGCAAATTCTCACCTTAATTCTACCTAAATTAATTACTTTGTAATTAAACTGGATGATACTCTGGCAATATGATACATAAACCAATAATTTTATTTTGTATTTTCTGTATAAAGTTTTTTTTTATTATACTATGGCTAAGCAAATTGCACTATTGTACATGCAAAGTAGCTTTTTTAAGTTATTCAATAAATTACTTGGACTGTAGTTCAATGCAATAATATTTTTTCCAATAAAAAGTTTAATGGTTTAGGAGTGTTAGTCATGTATTTCTAATAAAAAGCATACCAAAATTTAAGAACAAAATCAAATGCAAAATGGTGTAGAAATATTCTGTATTTTACACTGCTGAATTAAAA